GCCGTCCCTCTACGTAATGATAGCAAAGAAGGAGCACTCGAAAAGCGCTTTTCTTTTTCGAGAGGCTTTGATTCCTGTGCAATCTAGCCGGCTAAATATGCGACATGTTAGTCACGTTGAACTACTAACTCTGATTGTCGCCACAGTATTTACTCTTGGCTAGCATCTATAGATAAACATCACTACATGTCTTGTTTCGAGTTCACTTGTACATGTACTGTACATTGGTGCAATATTTGCTTTCTTGAGTACGTTCTTCTCCTAGGAAGTCACAATGGATAATTCTCCTGCTTCTCACTAGTTCTCTTTTGATCGCTTAAAGCTTTACTGTTCAAAACTACGTCTGATCTTTCAACATTGTCGGTTATCTCTTCATTTACAGATTGCGGAGGTTCAAAGGCATGGTGCCTGGCCAAGTACTTGGCTTTTCGAGAAGCAGACTCTTAGCCGAGTGATCTTCTGGCTGCCAAGAGCACGTAAGCACTTCGTATGTCGTTGATAATTTGATATGAACGACACCTGCCTAATTCGTCCCGCATTCTCCCCGCATGCCATGTGAGAAGCAGGCATAGTATCACTTTGATTGCTTCGAAATTTAAGTCTCATCCGCCGAGAAATATAGCTCATCTGGGCAGCATGTCGGGAAACATATCTCAATTACCAGCTGCCTCAATGAGCGTCCCAAGAGATAAAAGAAATTGGCAACGCGGGGTTAATAGATCTCCACGCGATTCTGAGCTTGCCACAAAGGCATGTCAACTTGTCAAGTATAAGTTGAGACCTATCCCCGCCCACCCGAGGAAGAGGGAGCCAGCCCCCGATTGATCTGTCAGCCTACATGTTCAATCATGAAGCTCTCGACTCTTCTTTACCTTGCACCTCTTGCGCAGGCATGTCTTCTTCCTGAGGAATCCACCAACGATTTGGCCGCAATTGTCCGTCGTCAATCGAATAACAACACTGGATTGGCTATTGGAACAGGCGATCGGTTCATAGATGGTACTGTTGCACCTCGTGGGCTCGGTACACAAGCACCGGGAACAGATCTAGGAAGCATTCTTTCTGTCAAAGAGATCAGGAGTGCTTTCACGGGACTTGCTAAAGAGTACGGCTTCGAGACTTTCGAGTCTCCATACCCAACACATGAGAATGCGACTCTCTATGGTGGCAAGATTGGTGGAAAGTTCGCTGGAAAGTGTCCCAATTCTTTCCGCGTCTTCTTCAATGCTGCTATCCACGCACGCGAGCGTGGATCTTCGGACAATCTGCTGTATTTCTTAGGTGACTTGCTGTACGCCAACAAGAACAAACTTGGATTGCAATATGGCGGAAGGACCTACACGGCGCTTGAGGTCCGCAAAGCGATATCTACGGGGATTGTTTTTATCCCTTTGAGCAATCCAGATGGCGTTGCCTGGGACCAGTCCACGAATTCTTGCTGGAGGAAGAACCGCAATCCAGCATCTGCTTCTCCTGGGGTTGCTAACTCCATTGGCATCGATCTTAACCGAAACTTCGACTTTCTCTGGGACTTCCCAAAGTTGTTCACTCCAACTGTCGCACCAAACGTCGCCTCCAACAATCCAGCTGCTCAGACATTCCACGGCACAAGCGTCTTCTCCGAACCCGAGACTCAGGGCATTAAATGGGTTATGGATAGTTTCCCAGCACTACGTTGGTTTTTGGATATCCACTCCTACACCGGTGTTGTGCTCTACAATTGGGGAAGTGATGAAAATCAACTCACCAATCCTGCCATGAATTTCCAAAACTCGAGCTATGACAGCGTCCGCGGTCTTATGCCTGATGATCCAACTAATGGAATAGTCTACTCCGAATACGTTCCTCGCAACGACTGGTCTGACAAGATCTTCGCCGCTATGCGAATGGGCAATGCAATGGACGCTGCCACTGGTCGTCACTACGAAGTCACGCAGAGTGCTTACCTCTACCCTACTTCTGGTGCCAGTGACGATTATGCGTATTCGAGAAGCTTTGCGGATCCTAAGTTGAGCAAGATCCACGGGTATACCCTGGAGTTCGGGTTCGGGAACCAAGATGCGAGCTGTCCCTTCTATCCTACACAGGAACAGTATCACCAAAATGTACTGGAAACGAGTAGTGGGTTTATGGAGTTCTTGTTGGCGGCCGAGCAGATTGGGCTTGGAGACAGAGGGAGCTGTGATTCTGCGTAGATTACGTGAGGCTTATCTCATGAAATTTAATACTACTCAATAACACCTCAAGTCTTGAAGCTTTTGGGATTATATGGCATAAGTGTCCGGAAGATTGTGCATGTTTAACATTAATCGAATGCTCCAGACACCACATCACAACCATCCAACCCAAGCCACCAACTACAGAGATGTGTTCTCAACTGGTCTTATATTCACTTTATTTCAAGAATCTAGCGTGAATTATCGCCCCCGTATAAAAAAGTGGCCTCACTAACGTTTGTGGCATTGCGAGCCAACCTCAACTTCGAGCTTTGAGTATTTCGCCATAAAACTACTTCAATACTCTCCGTCTTTCAAGCACTTTTGCAACTAGCTAGAATTCGTTCCATACTCATGACACATCTCGCATTGCGTGGCACGATCACCGACTTGATTATTTGCTTGCTTACACACTTGACTATCGTCCTTTCACTTCTATCAACCCCCCCCCCCCCCCCCTTCCTCCCCCCTTTGGGTTTCCAGAGATGCCTACCTCAGCCATCCTCATCACAACTTTAGGCCTCACCGGCGGTGCCCTCGGCCACATCATCTACACATATAACCAATCCTCCCTTCGCGTAGCCCGCCAAGCCGAGGATTTCGCAAATAGGGAAGGTCAGGAGATCGGACCGCGGGAAATTATACGCTAGCTCGCGAGGTATGGATCTTCGAGTCTACGGATCATGTATGCTGAGATCGGAGTGGATTTGAGGAGTCTAATCATGAGGATGCCGATAGAGAGGTGAGGGTTTGGAGCCCAGAGTTGATGTGTGGGGTGAGGGGGGAGTTGATAAGAGAGCTAAGGGACACTTTGAGGGGCAAGGGGGAGGCGGAGGTTAGGAGGGTATTGATAGAGGAGTTTTTGCTGCAAGAGTTGCAAGGAACTATGACAGAAGAGGTTGAGATTCAGGTTCAAGTTAAGCTACGGGGGGAACTAATAAGACAATCTTTGGGTGGCTCGGTTGGATTGCAGGTTCGAGGTGTACCGAGAGCGGAGCTGCAAACGCAATTCGAGGACAACCCAGTGATCATGTCACAGATCGAACGCGAGGCTAGATATTGCGTTCGACGAGTTTTGATGCCCCAAGCCAGAACCGAAATCCGTGCGGAGATGAAGCGGGAGATCCGAACCGAGCTCGTACGAAGTGGAAGAGATGTTGCGCTTCTTGCAGAGGCGATGCGTGATATGCGGGCCGAGGTAAAGATAAATCTACGGCTTGAGTTGAGAAGTGCGGCTCAGCGGGAATTGAGACTTGAGTTAAGGGGTGAGGTTAGGAGGGAGATGAGAAGCGAGATGAGGGAGGAGGTGGGGAGATATGCGCTAAGAAACGAGGTCAAGAGGGATCTGAAAAGTAAATTGAAGTATGAGATGGAGAGGCAATTGAGGAACGAGGCGCAAGCTGCTACCAACAGCGCCTTATTCGAAACGACGACGAGTTCTCTGAGAAGTGCTGCCAAGGAAGATGACAAGGAGACGATGGAGGGCTTTTTGACGAGTATCTGGACGGAGTCGACGGTCACTGCTGGGACCAAAAATAGATGAGCTGATACTAGAGTACGGTTTATTTAGACAACAATGAAGAATCACAAAAACCCTACTCTAAACTAGTATCGGTCCGTGCCTTTTCACTGCGTCACATGAGGAGAGTTGAGTCTCTTATAAGCTCTCGAGAATTCCAGAACACTCTCGCCCATATACAGCCTGAGGTCTGACAAACGACGACAAATTTTGCTACTAAAGCGACATATCTCAAAATAATCCACACATAGTGAAGCTGTCTGACACTCCACTTACAAAGTATATCAGGCGTTTTTGAAAAGATGGAAGCTGAATAAGACTCCGAGACCCCACTTTATATGCCTTCCATGCAGATCTTCACAGAATCCTCTATGTGTATTAGATCTGATACCATCGCCGAAATAGGAAGCCATTTTACTTATCCCGCGTATTACTGTCTGGTTTTTACTATATCGACCCCTTCGTTGCCGTGTACCTTTATTCGGGGACAGAGTCAAAATCAAAAAGCAAAAAGTTCAGATCTTTCGATCCGACGTCTTATTAGTCTATTTGTTACCTGGGGCCACAGGTCGGGAACCTAGTTGGATAAGGGGGGCCCTTTGTTCCCGGGCAGTCGGACGACGATAGGTTGCTGTAGCGTACCGTCCGCCGGGGTAATCCAAATCTTTATATCCCGATCAGCTATTCTGATTGGAGGAAATAGTGAGCGAAAGAATTTATATAGTCATGTAAGCGCGGGCTTGGTGTAGTGGTGAGAATTCCGAGAGTTACCAGATTTAAAATCTAATAATAATAACTCTGGGCGATAGACTATAATAGGAGCTAGGACTTCTCTCTCTTTTTTTTATTTTAATACTCGGTTTGCCTCGTGAATAAGCTTTGTTATATACTCGGGATAAGTAAAACGGCTTTCTAGGTAAAATAGAGTGGTGTTGCACGTGATTTTAACGTGACTTATATAGTACTACTAATAAGCTATATATCTACGGAGTTGTATTAAAAGACCTTAAGAATACTCTAATAGCCCATTCTTACTCATCATATGTCGCCTAGTACAGTATTGTAGGTAGTAAGAGAGATTGGTGTTAGCGGAATAGATATTTCCCGATATCCTCTACGATTTTAATTGATCTCGATTAGGTTTAGGGGGCAAATCTTTTCTTCCACCGACAAAAGCTAGTCTAAAAAAGCTACATCAACAAACCTCAACCAAAAGTCTGAAACTAAAATACATTCAATCGACTAAAATTGTAAAAAGAAAAAAATGCAACTGCCGTGAATCGAACACGAACCTCCACCTTACTAAAGGACCCGTGAGGATCAACTGGAAGGGTGGAATCCTAACCATTGGACCACAGAAGCTTTTCCAGGATCTGGTTAAAACAAAATTTGTTGTGAATGAAAATTTGGAAGAGGGATTTGACGCTGCTTTACCTGCATGCTGGATGCCGCTTTTAAAGTGGTGCGGGCGGAAGCTTTCTTGGAGACTAGTAAGATATAACTAGTATGCTAAGTTCTAATAATTCCATTGTATTAATAGTAGCGATAAAGCTTTGACATGTTAAGTGTTAGTTCTTGCTAGCTCTAGAGTCTTCGCAGTAAGGTTTCGAGGGTTGATGAAGCTCGTTCACGTGATTACATGACGTCTTTTACCCATTTTTGCCTGATCTGGCAAGCGCAATTTCTGGTCTAGAATTTGGAGGGAGGCGGCACTATGCGGTATCCGTACCCTGTCCAAATTCGATCCATGTGAAGTGGGCGCTTAATAGCCGCACGCGAGAAAATCAAATCGGCAGACTAATCACTACGCAACACACCTGTTTCCGAAGTTTGGCCACCAGCCGATCGACCCAACATCAACGATCAACACCACCTCGCGACCCTTCTAAAATAGATGACGATAACTCTTCGAGGTTGTCTTGAAATGCCAGGCGTTTCCTCGACAGAATCGAGGTCACCTCGACGTCCAATACCTCCAAAACGCTCATTCGCAGATTTCGACGAGTTTGACACTTCCTCACCACGGCTTGGCACGACGAAGCGACTCCTAATTGAGATAGAGGAAGTAGAATAGGAGACCCTCCGACTAGTCAACGACTAATGGAGAAGTTCGTGCCGACTATACAGCAACAGCCAAGGCCTCTCCCTCTAAAGCGCCCACACGCATTATTCCTCGAAGACACTGTCGACCTGCTTCCTTTGAATCCTGCTTGGAAAAGATACCGTCCTGAGTCTGTCGATAGTTTTGTTACCCAATGGGTGGAGTCTGCTTCAGGATCAGGATCAGAATCCTATCGAGAAAGACACTGCCGGTCGGATACTCTTCTTAGTCACTCAGACGGCGATACCCCTAGGAGACTCATAAAATCGGCGCCGAGTACGGAGTACAGACGAGATTCTAATGGATTCGCTCTGTCACTGACACCTGCTTCTACCAAGTCTTGTTCGTACAGAGCAGATGCGGAGGGTGGCTCACAGGTGTCTGGGTACGGCCCATCAGTCGCGCCATCGGATATCAGTGGTGCCTCTGTTGGTTCAAGTCAAAAGAGCCTTGTTGAGGACCCCTACTACCGGGACAATAACTTGGCGGAGAACAATATCCACATGCGTTCTTTCTACGAAGAATTTCCGGTAGATATTGCCGGACTTGTTAATCTCGTACGTAAGGACCGTGATTCACCAGACCTATCGCCAGACCAAGTCAAGCAAAATACACGTTTGGAACGCCTTGATATGGACACCGGGGAACCCGATGTAGAAAGGTATTTCTATGCTCACGTCTTCCCTGATCCCGAACCAACGGACATGTTACAACGCACCGATAGAAATCCAATGGCTAAACATGTTGTTCCGGATTTCGGATCTAAGCTCAAGGTCAGCACTCCTGTGCCTGATATTCTTTTTGGATACAGCCGAAACGGAGCATTTCCCCAACAACAAACCCAACTTCGCTCTATGGGAAATGAGATGGTAGCCAATACTCAGGGCCTAGTGTATCCGTTCTTTGTCGTCGAGTTCAAGGCTGATGGTCCTGGAGGATCTGGGAGTATGTGGGCGGCGACAAATCAATGTCTTGGAGGCTCTGTCTCATGCGTCAACGTTGCCGAACGCCTCAACCGCCAGATGAGGCAGTACAAGAACAAAAAGGTACGGAGTATTAACAGTGCCGCATTTAGTATCTCTATGAACGGTACCGAGGCGCGACTCTACGTATCCTGGAAGCACGATGAGCTCAAATACTACATGCGAAAGGTCGATAGTTTCTTGTTTCAGAAGCCCGAAGATTACGTGGAGTTCCGTAAGCACGTCCTAAACATCATCGATTGGGGCAAGGACGAGCGCCTAAAAGAGGTTATAAAATCATTAGACGGCCTCGAGAGGTGCACTTAGGGTTTTGGCAAAAACACAGCACATCATCGTCGGATATATCGGCGTGGAAGCCGATACACGCGCATAACCTTGACCGCCTGTCCCACCGCTGCACCACCATGGCCGCGTGGAGACTCAGCTTGGACGATGATACGTCCCTCATGTTGAAGTATGCCCTGTGGCCTGAGGCACAAACAGTGGCCTGGCACTGGCCTGGCACCGTTTCAAGCACGTCTCACTTGCAGACCATATATGT